GTATAAAACGAATAGTTCAGACAGTTCCAGGCAACTCCAGAAATGCTGTGTGCATTTGGTTACTCCTCTCTCTTTTCACGGCTCTTGAATGCTGTGGGTCCTCCCTGCTGGCATCCTTCCCAATTCAAAACTCTTTAGTAAATACTCAAATTCTAGAATTTTCCATCTTTTCTCCTTCATTAAAACTTATCTGTTGAAATGTCTCCCCCCAAATATCATGCTGTGTTTTCAACTCATTAGTAAGACAAATGGATTTGTGCCAAAATAATAATTTATTTTTCTCCAGTAATATATTTCATATTAACTAGAAACTAAATTGCTTTAACCTAAAGGTAGAATCTAGTTTGGAAATTTAGGGCCCAGGGAAGGTAAATAATGGGAAAATCAGCTCCTTAGTTTGTCTCACCAGAAAGGGGTGTGTGTTGGGGGTGAAGTGGTGGGGGTGGAAGGGCCACTCTAACCAACTGCCTCACCCATGGGATCATCCAGTATCCTTTCTCAGAAATCGCCACAAATAGAATCATTCAATGCTTAACTTACATATGCCCCAAAGGTGCGTAACACCAGAAGAGTTGGTCATTAATATACATTTTAGGTTTTGTCACAAGAGCACAGGTAGCCAAAATTTAGAAGTCAAACCTGACCTTTTCTTTCAGCAAGTAGAAGGAACTTCAGAAGAATTCTCCTATCGTTTACATAGTCCAAAGGAGTGACATATTAAACCAGGGTTCTGATTTGTTCCTTAAGAACAACTAAGAACTCTTGACCATTAATTTACTTATACTAATGTATTCTACTGGCAAAATTAGGAGCCTTTTTATCACTGTTAAAAGAGCCAACGGGAAGTGAGTAAGGAGATGTGTTGTTACATATTTTGCAGGGAAAGGGGACAGTTAATACAGAAAGTTAAGGCACTGAGAATTATGGTACTGTTCCTGCTATCTCATATGAACATACCTTTTTATTGTATTTCTGTCTTAAAACCTTCCCATGGATTTGTAATACTGCTGAATAGACTGAAAATAACAAAACATAAATTCTATTCTATTTTTCCTTCTCGAAGTAGCAAACCAAGAGAAAGCTCTTAAAAAGAAGTGCCTTAGTTTCCCCATTCAAAATATGGGGAAACTAAGGAATGGACCAATACTTGTTCATTCATTCATATATTCTTAGTCATTGCCTACTAAATCCTTTATTGGGAACTGCTTTCTCAGTTAAAAAAAAACCGCTGTGCATTCACATCTCCTGAAAGAATGTTTGTAAGATTTTATTTAAAAAATAATTAAAAAGTATATTTGGTTAGATTTACATTCAAAGAACATGGACTGAATATGTTTGTCTAACAATAGCTACTTTGCTGAACAGAAATTCACCCAGAATTCCAAACTAAAGAAATGAATGAATCAAGGCGGTGCACCCAGAGCTCCTAGGATTTGGAGAGCCACTGCCCCTAAGTTAGGCCCCTTCCTTGGTCCTGCTACTAGGCTAGGAGCACTTGGCCCTGTCGTACGTGTTACGGCTAAATGCTGCCAGCTGATTCCAGTCAGAAAATGACTATGTGCTATTCCACTAATACCTTTTCAATATGCTAGTAATACCCAGTGAGCAATTCAATCAATGGTGAAATAAATAGATAATTAGGGACTTAGTATCAGCATAAATTTTGCTAATAATTGTCACTCAGTGACCAGTGGGCAGGCAACTATAGAACTCAGAGCAACTGGAGGGAATCTCCTTTGCTAAGCAATTGTCAGTTCCTGCTATTTTTTTTTTCTTCTCACATCCGAGTGTACAACAGGAAGGGAGAATGCATGAAAAGAGGACAGTACATTCAAATAAGGAGAAGAGGAGGGAAAACTGTCTTGAATGTGACAACAGAAGCACTAAGGTAGCTTGAAATCTTTAGCCGAATTGTTGAATAGAGTCTCCGCTCAATTTTAGGGATTGTTACTATAAACATGAAACCAGAGAGAGACAAGAAGATTGCAAATTTTTTTTGGTAGTAGAATTCTTTCAGCACCTTTAAGTATCATTAGTGCTTTGTGTACTATATTATTTTAAAGTTATCTATAAGTTATATATCTTCCTTTACCATGTTTATTAAATTCTTTTTTTTTTCTTTTCAGAGAGGAAAATTTCTATGTTTTGTTTTTTTAAATCAAAGCTAATGGGAAAAATCAAATTCACTTAAGAGAAATTTGTAGAAAAGAATCTGTGTGTTTAGGAAGAATATCTGTATTATTATTTAGGATCTAGACGTCTCCAATCACTTGCTTTAGTTTATCTTCTTCTTCTGTGCAAATCCTGTACACCAAAAATCCTTTTCTATAGTTATTTTATATGACAGAAAGATCTGCTTTCATAGAAACTTTTAGCAGTGAGGAGGGGAATCAAACAGGGAGAAATAATCTACTCTAAAAGTCCTGAAACTGACATGACACAGGATGATGAAACGGGCCAGCAGAGGCCAGAACGGTGCAGGACACCCTGGCGCTGGTGGCTGTCAGGTAGGTAGGGTTTCCTGCTACCACTACATGCTCTTTCACAAAGCAATAGTATTTTTTTTCCCTTTCTCCTTTTGTCCCTTCCCTTACATATTTGTAAGAACAATTCAGATCTAGAAAGCATGCTTGTTATTTACTCAGAAACCAAGGGAAGACGGGGAGAGAGGGTGCCTTTCAGTGCTGATAGTCAACATGTAGACAGATCAAAAGCTAAATCCAATTTAACCCACCTCAGGCAGAAAAAGTAATTGAATTAAACTTCCTCTAAATATGATAAGTTTGGGGCTCTGAGAGCCAGGCACAAAGAACCAGGTTAGAGTGAGTTGTTAAGTAAATGGAGGCATTGAGCTCCAGCCGCCCCGCCCACAGGGAGTTTGATAAGCTGGTGATTGCCTTGATCACTTTACTACCGAGGCTGAAAACTGATTAAGCTGCTTACGGGGCTCTGGGGCTAATGGCTCGGCCCACCAAGAATACCGCTGCCACTGATTTAAGTAAGCTGCTTGGCACGTATGGTTTGATTATTACAAGGGGGAAAAAAGAAAGGGAAAAAAAAAAAAAAAGACAGCAGGATACAGGAAGCCTGAAAAAGCAGGCTTCGTTATTCCAAATGGATACACTACTCTGACACCCTAAAATGAATAAGGAATTACTCTGATTTTTTCTCTTCATCGGATATCAAAACTCTTTTTTGAAAGGCTTCCTCAAAGAGTACTCACTTTGGAGCCCACCCATTCTATTTTAAACCACCTTTACAAGAATGTTCCGGGCCTTTAAACATACTTCTCAAGTGATAGAGTCTGTGTCCTCAGATAACTATGATCAGATAGACTCTGGAAAATAGACAAATGTATAATGGGTGTTTTAACCAATGCTTCCCCCTGAACACCACCGGACAATTGTAATTAAAAATATACCCCTTTCCAGCCCAGCCAGCGAATCACCGCTGCTTGACGATGCAGTAAGGGCAGGCAGGACCAAGGGAGTTGGGGTGGCCAGTGCTGTGCGAGTTAAGCTTAAACTTGACACCCAAGTGGAAAGCAAAGCCCTGGTCTCCTCTCAGCCCCTTCAACTAAATGCTCTAAAATCATTCCTGCCATTTAAAATAAATTTCCTACCTCTGGGTGTGTGTGTGGGGGGAATGCAAACAGAACACAAAAGTCTTAAGTTTTCAAATTAAGGGGAAAAAAAGACATTTTTAAAAAAACCTTGAAAAGTAATTTAAAGTCTGAAAAATGACTGAAGGATATGAGCACGGTTTTTAAGTTGACCTAATTTCTTCTGGATAAAATCACCAGAGAGGAAAACAACAACAAAGGAACAGAATCACAGCAGTCTGAGATGTTCTGAAAGTTGTCACAATTGTTTTTTTTTAATTGACTCCTGAGAGAATCATTTAGTGTCTAACAGCTTCTTAGGGAGTAAGTTGTTGATTTAAATGATTAACCAAAGGTAACATATTCAGGCTTGGAGCTGAACACAACAAAAGGTCAGTTTCTTCCTGGCTGCTAACCTGGTCAATCATTAAAAGGACATGTGCTAATAAAAGTATAAATAGCTGATTTTGATTGTTATGTGCTCTGCTATATTTTATTAAACTTAATATATTCATTACCTTTTACATCTTTTTTCTACATATAATTTTTTATTGATATAATTCACATACCATGAAATTCACTCTTTTAAAGTAAACAATTCAGTGGTTGTTAGTATATTTACAAGGTTGTGCAACCATCACCACCATCTAATTCCAGAACACTTTCGTCAGCCCCAAAGAAACCACGCGTGCATTAGCATTTGTTCCTCATTCCTCTGCCCTCCCCAGGCCCTGGCAACCACGAATGTACTTTTTGTCACTGTGGATTTGCCTATTCTGGGCATTTCATTTAAGTTAAATAATACACTATATATTCTTTTCTGTCTGGCTTTCACTTAGCACGATATTTTCAAGGTTCGTCTATGTTGTCGCATGCATCAATCAGTAATCAGTACTCCACTCCTTTTTACAGCTGAATAATAAATATTATATGGATACACAACATTTTGTTCATCCATTCATCAGTTGAACATTTGGGTTGTTTCCACTTTTTTGCTATGATGAATAATGCTGCTCTGAACATTTGTGTACAAGTTTTTACGTGGACATAGGTTTTCAGGTCTCTTGGGGATACACCTAGGAGTAGAATTGCTGGGTCATATGGTAACTCTATGTTTAATGTTTTGAGAAACTGCCAAACTGTATTCCAAAGTGGCTGTACCACTTTACATTCCCACCAGCAAGGTATGAGAGCTCCAGTTTCTCTACATCCTTGCCAACATTTGTTGTCCTATAATATCTTTTTATGCTAAATTCCGCCCCCCACTCCCTGTTCTGAATAGAAATTAACTGAGTACCAGGGCTTATGATGAAAACTACCCCATGATGGTGGAATTCAGTGCCAAGACCATAATCGACAGAAACAGAACAAAAATGAAATGGCCCCTCTGAGCACTTACCTGCTGCAGGTCGGCGAGGGAATACAGGTGGATCTGTTGAAGGAGGTATTCTCTGGGGAAAATTCTGAAAACAAGGGCAGATATACAAGTGAACTGTGGTTCTGCCACAAAACACACTTTTTTCTGTTAAGTTTCAAAGTCTCATTCAAGAATTCTTTTCCTCTGCTCCTCTCCCCTTTCCACCTATTCTCCTCTTCCCCATACCCTCTGAGAAACCTGTAATAATTTCCTTTTCTCAGATATTTTTCTTCCTAACACAGATACCAGAATGGAAGTAAAAGTTTGATCTTTGATTTCTAATGTAATCTGAAATGCTACGAGTACTGTGTAGTGGTCCAGGCCCGAGGACCAGAACATCAGCTTTCTTCTACCAGCTTTGTCCCTAACAAGCTATATGATCTTGGACAAGTCCCCAAATCCAACTGGCTTCAGCTTCTTCACTGAAGAATAAGGGTGATTGGACATGATGTCTTTAAATATCTTTCTAGGTGTATTATTCTATATCTAAATAAACTGATTTTAGGGAGAAAAATTGGAGTTGCAACCTGTGTGTCTAAAGGCTTCTATGGCCCTCATTAATGGGGAGCTGTGGAACTGAGCATCACATTACATGTGTTATACTTTTACATGTATACTGATGGTAATTTTTAGAACCTAGGTATAGATGGGAATAATGGGACAAAATATTTTAAATTGGGACACCTCAACAAAGTCTGATATCTGCTGTCAGATCACAGCATCTGGATAGCTGACAGCGAATGAACAGGAAAGAACGATCCATTATGGGCAAGCAGACAGGTACCAAAGTGCAGATGGTTGGAAGACACCATACATACAAACTAAATCCAAAACAAAACTCCTGGTGCTAGCATTCTCACTCTCTGTCTTATGTGGTACTATGCAATTTTCTTCTGTTTTAAGTGAAAGAAATCATCAATTTATTCAATTAACATTTGTGATTGTCCATTATATGCCAAGCACTGTGCCAGGCACTGGGAAGACAATTATGAACTCAGTATCTGAGTTCAGGAGCATAAAGTCAAGTGAGGGAAAGACGCATAAACTGCTCATTATAATACGATGTGGTAATCGCAAATGGTGAGAGTTATGCATGGGGAACATATTTTTAAAATGGCCTAACATGGTGGATTCCAACCCTGTTTCTCTATTAGAATCATTTGGGGAGCTTTTAGAAAATGACAGGGTATATGCGTGGGTACAGCCCAAAATTCAGTGTTAAAATGAAACAAAACCTTTCCTGGTGATTAGTACAGCAATCAAGTACGCATTGTTGCCAAATCCTAGAGGTTAAATCATTCATCCTTCCATCCATCCAATATTGATGAAGCACAAATTGAATACCAGGCACTGTACCAGGCCACTGAATATGGATCATTGAATCAATGTGACAAAGTACTGACCCCACGGAGTGCTGGGGTAAGTGTATTCTAGTTTGGAGCTCTCCTGGAAAGTAGGATAGGCACTGAAGAACTCTGCTGAGAAGCACTGCTTCACCCACAGGAATGAGACACACCAAGTGAATGACAAGGGCATTATATTCTGGGAAACAGAATACAGTTCCTAAGGCTGGGCTCCCTCTAACTGTAATGGTTCGGGGCTGCACCTGCGGCAGGAAGCAGAGCACAGTCCCAGCACAGCTGGGTAGGGTATAGGGAATGTGCTCAATTCCTCCACCTGGGATTAGCTTCCCTACAGAAAGGTGCCTGGTGTGGAAGGTAGACCATGGTCCCACAGTGAGATGTAACCGGCCTCCATTTTCAATAACACGCACACATGGCAGAGATGAGCAAGAGAACTATTCCTCACGGCACCCTAGGGTTAAGCACCAATAACAAGAAGAGCAGCATACTTTGAGCTTGGCACATGACATACATCATTTCGTTTATCCTCAAAATGGCCCTGTATGGTAAGTACAGCCTCCATTTTACACAAGAGGGAACTGAGGCTCAGAAGCAAAGACTAATTTGCCAAGGTAACAAAGTTCAGATTCAAGGCCAGGACTTTCTGACTCTGTGCTCCTTCCATTTTCTTAGGTTGGGGGTGGCAGAAGGAGGGAGGTGGCTTGAGTTGACCGTCTAATTTAGCTATATCGTGCATGTCTTTTCTAGGTAGGTGTTTCTTACTGTTCAGGCCAGTAGCAATATAGAGCCACTGATGCTTTTTTTAAACAGGAAAGTCACGCCGATGCCCTCTGTCGTGCCCTCTTTCTGAAGGCGGTAGGGAAGGTGGAGAGACTACAGGCAGGTATCCCTGACAAGGCACTCGAGGGTCTATTCTAGGGTAATAACAAGGGGATAGTGAAAGGAATAGGTGGGTAGATACAAGAGACTTTGACAAAAAGAGCTGAGAATGTTTAGAATGAGTGAAAAGGGAGAAAGGAGTCAAAATGATCCTGAAGCATCCAGCGCGGGTATCAGAATGGTTACGCCATTGGCCAACAGAGGGCAGGCTGTCGGGGGAGGGAATGAAGGGCTGGGTTTTACATGTGCCCGATATCCAGTGCTTGTGGGGGGGCAGCAAGTACAGCTGTGGGACTGAGACGTGGAAAAGCCAGGGACACTTCTGACCTCAGCACAGAGGGCACAGGCGGAGCTGCGGGAGTGGATGGAAGGGACCCAGGAGAAACCTGAATAGGAAAGGGGCTGAGCAGGGACAGGTTTTGTTTTTACTTTGTTTACCTTACAATGTTGGTGGTCTGCAATGTTCTCATACTTGAAAAATTATGTTTTGAAAATAACCAGGATGTCCACGTGTACTTCAGTTCACGTGTACTAACATTTCCTCTTTTTTTTTTTTTGTAAAATGTTCATCCCTGTACCCTTCACCAGCTTCCCCTAATGTTTACATCTTATATAACCACAGCACATTGATCAAAACTAAGAAATTAACCCTTATGCACATTATAGACTTCATTCAGATCTCACCAGTTATGTCACAAAAATGCCTTATCTGTCCAGGATCCAATCCGGAATCCAACATTGCATGGATTGTTGTTTTATTGTTGTTGTCTAGTAGATTTAAGCATCTGTGAGGAGACTTGAGACCCAAACATATGTGCAGACAAGGAAACCTATGACATAGTCTTTCAGGGGGCTACGAGGGCAGAAGTATACGATAATACAGGGGACAGAGGGTATTTGGGGGCAGTTGAATGGAAGGAATAATCTTTTCGAAAGATAATTGATCTACAGCAGGAACAAATGTAGGATAGCATATCAATAATGTTTTGTTACTTAAAGTTCTTTCTGCTTTAAAATCGTAATATTTCTATGACTGGAGTAAATAGGATATAAGAATTATTTACAAATTTACAAAGCAAGCCATGCCGGTACGCCCTTCCTAGAGTATGATAGCCAGTGAGTTATCACACAGCCAACAAACCCTTATTGAGTGCTCAAATAAGCCAGGTGTTGTGCTAAGTGCTGGACATGAATACTTCAATGAACATGATTGATGAGCAACAAAGAGAATTTCCAGTTTTGCCTTAGTAGTCTGGGTTCTTCTTGCTTCCAAACGTTGTTCATTATTCTTCTCACAACAATAGACCAGCTTTGGTCACAGTCATCTCTAATACTCTCTCAGCATTATTTGTACAGTACAGCTAAAATTAGCTATGTATTTATTTAATGTTTCTATGTGTGTAAATATATTTCACATGTTTATTTTCTCTCTGCCTTTGGAAGACATTCTAAGCCCCTCCAGAAGCACTTGTCTACTTTCTCCCTGTATCCCTCTTTGGTGTCTAATACTATAATTTACATGAGGTCAGTCATAACAGACACAAAGAACTGGAAAATGCGATATAGGCAGAAAAGATAAAGAAACCAAGCTTATTGTGTCTGGAGATGTTGTGTCCAAAAGATTTAGTGGTGGCCATTAACCACACAGACTTTCAAGACAGATAATGCCAATCAGCTTTTCTTCTCTCTGGAGGACAGAATTTGTAGCATGAAAGCATTGAAGTCGAATATGAGAATAAATTTCCTGAGAGTTAAGACTGGTAGGAATTAAAAAGCATCTCTTACACTAATGCTTTTTAATGTAAATAAAAAAAAGAAAAAGATTTTTTTTGGCAGCTATTTAGAGATAGGGACTCAGTCTTCTGCTTAGAGGAGGTAAGGGTTTCCAAGGCAGGGCCAGATGACTTAGGCTCGCTGCAGCCAGTTCCTCTTCCCCCTAAGGCAGGCTGAATTTGCAGGACATTCTCTGAATATCTTCTTTAGGCAGACCAAGCACGGCCCAAGGTAAATAAGGAAGCCAAGCTCAGGAAAGTGTGGGCCAAGGCAACTTCCCATCTGGGTGGCACCAAGGGCTTTTCCCTTCTGTGGCTTCCATCCTATAAGTCAGCCTGTGGGACAGGGGCCCTTTAGGAAATAGGAAAAGCAGGGATCCCTGGGACAAGTTCTCCTTAACCTCAGATAGTAGAAGGGGTTCTGGAAAACCTGTGGGACCAAGGCGTGCTCAGGTAGCATTAAGCTGCCTTAGGCGGATCTGAGCAGGGAAGACAGGGCTCCACAGGGGGATGCAGAGATGAATTTGCAGCCACTTCAGGGACTGGGGAGTGGGAGAGCTGTTCATGCCTAGGAAGCAAAGCTTGGTGTCTCCTTAAGATAGTCATGTCACCATTAATTTTATGATTATTGTATTCAACGAAGAATGAATGATTATTTGCATTTCTTAAAGAAAACAGTTGTAATTGCCACATCTCCCATGAATTTAATGCAAATGAAGCCCAGCCTCATGAAACTCTGTGACTTGTTGCCATGGTTAAAAACCTAAAATCAGGCTGAGTGTGGTGGCTCATGCATGTAATCTCCACACTTTGGGAGGCCAAGGTGGGAGGACTGCCTGAGGCCAGGAGTTCAAGACCAGCTTGAGCAAGAGCAAGATCCTGTCTCTACAAAAAATAGAAAGACTAGCCAGGCGTGGTGGCGCACGCCTGTAGTCCCAGCTACTCTGGAGGCTGAGGCAGGAGGATCGCTTGAGCCCAGGAGTTGGAGGTGGCAGTAAGCTAGGATGACGCCACTGCACTCTAGCCTGGGC